TCTAGGAGTTTTATAATTTTAACTTTCATATTTAGGTCTATGACCCACTTTGGGTTAGTTTTGTGTATAATGTGTATAATGAGAAGTAAAGGTCAAGGTTTGTATTTTTCCATTCAAATATCCAGTTGTTGAAGCACCATTTGTTGAAAAGATTTTTTTTTAAGATTTTATTTATTTGACAGAGAGAGATCACAAGCAGGCAGAGAGGCAGGCAGAGAGAGAGGAGGAAGCAGGCTCCCTGCAGAGCAGAGAGCCCGATGCGGGGCTTGATCCCAGGACCCTGGGATCATGACCTGAGCTGAAGGCAGAGGCCCTAACCCACTGAGCCACCCAGGCGCCCCTTGGCTCTTCTTTTTTAGAATTGCTTTAGCTATGCAAGGTCTTCTGCATTTCCAATAAATTTTAGCATCAGCATGTCAATTTCTCCAGAAAGCCTGTTGGGATTTTTACCGAATGTGCAATGAGTCTAGCGATAAATGTGGGGAAAATTGACATCTTCACAATATTGTGTCTTTCAATCCATGAGGGTATGATTTACCCTCCATATATTTAGTCTTTAACTTCTCTCACTCTGCATCTCTCTGGCCATTCTTCTGCAATCATATCTCGCTTTGACAAGAGCCAAGGAAACTTTTCCACTTTTAAAGACCCAAGTGATTCGACTGGCCCCACCCAGATAATCCAGAGAGCATTAGTGGAAAAGTAAAAGACAGAAACCCAGGAAACATTAGAGCTCACAGAGCGAGCCTGGTATCATAAGCCTCTCTCAAGAGAGGGTGCCCCTGACACTGAAAGGCCAAGAGCTAGAGCCCAAGCACTGGGGGACCCTTGGGGAAGAGGATGCCAGCCTTCCCCTGGCAAGCATGTGACCCTGGGACACTTCCTTTATCTATCTTCTGTCCCTGCAGACCCAGACCTAGGATAAGGGCACTGCCCAGAAGTGATTAAATGTTAACACACCTCTCTGTCCCTCCCTGAGACAGGGAGAGGAAGGGGTGCTCCAGGGGTCCAGGACTGCTGAAGTGCACAGCACCGGAGGTCAACTGCATGTTTACTGCTTGTGCCAGGTGTGGGTGATGTAAACAAGACTGCCCAAGATTTCCTGGACCTGAGCTCTCGGGAAGAAACGCATGAGGGGTCAAAAGTGGTGGCCTTAGCTCCATCTTACCTTCCCTTCTGTTTGACACTGGGCATCCCTTGTGGAGTCTGTGGGAATAGGCGGCTTCGAGGGCCTGTAAGCAGGAACTGTGGGACTGCTGGAAAGCCACCTGGCCCCATCAGATTCCACGGCCCTTGCACATCAGTGTGGCAACAGAGTCCCCATGCAGGACCCGGAGGCCCTGGTCAGACCTTTCTGAGGCCTTTTCCTGAGATGTCCTGCCCTTTCCTGCCTTTGTGCCTTGGTGTGCTCCTCCTTCTGGTTTTAGTCGCCCAGAACCCTGTTTTCTCTCTCCTTAGAATTAAGAACCATCTTCAGAAAGCAACACAAGAAACCATTTTCAAACTGACTTTAATTTTTTTTTTTTTTGCTGCCCAAATATTGTACATGCAGAAGCCATGTGAAGAATTTTCTCCTCGAGGGAATTGGCAAGAATGTTGTCGGAAACAGCCGGCAGTCCTCCCCAGCCGTCCACCTGCCACCTAGGAGCCACAGCAAGTTTGGAAAGATGCTGCACATAGAAAATGTGGAGAGCGCAGATATAAAAGGCTAATTGCTTCTTATCTAAACAGTGTGCTTGTCAGTCCCTATCAGCTATCTCTTTCTTTGCAGGATGCATTTGGAAATTCTAAAAAAGGGGTTCCTGCCTCCTGTGAGTTTACATACTAAAGGAGTAGATAGAATAATCAGGCCAACTTTTCCTAAGGAGGCAGCCACTCTGCCTGAGTTGAGGTCTGCTGAGAGATTCTGGAGAGAGGAGTGGTTTCGAGAAGCAAAATACTTTGATGGGGAAGGAGTGCCCTCTCTCCTCCCATCAGAAAGCATTGCCTTCAACATTCTCAGGTGTTCGACTCTCCCACGGATGTCATTCTAGAAGCAGAGAGGAGGATGGACCCAGTCTCATCTGCTGGTGGGGGTACTGACCTACGCAGGCTGCGGCTGAGGTGGTCACATCACACCAGCCCCTTGAAAAGTGTCCATTGTAGACAACCCTTAAGTATTTCCAGTCGTTACACAAGAAGAAAGGAGGGAGAGCAAACCACAAAGAGGTGGAAGCAGAGTCTGTTAGGATTCCGAGTTCCTGTCAGAGGCAGCATCTGGGCATGGATGGATGAGGACCTACATCCGGTCAGGGTACCAGGAGCCGGACAAAACCAGCCCTTGGACCCAGGCGTACCAGGCTGGAAACACTCCTCGGCTCCAGATCAGACTTTAAAGCCTGGAGAGAACCATGGAACCACTAGCAAATGCTGACTTTGCAGATGAGGAAGCTGAGGCCCAGACAAGTGAGGAGTCTTGTACAAGGTCATGATTTGGGACAAAACTATATAGAACAGCCTTTGTTTGATGCCCTGTAACCAGCTGTCCAGGCCATTGATCTGGGAGTGGGGTGGGGCGGGGGGACAGATGCTCTATGGCCCCTGGATTCCCAGGGCCTGTTTCTTTAGCCAAACTCTCTGGAACCCAGTCCCAGAGACCCTTCCTGACATTGGTGTGAACTCTGGCCCCTGGGCCTTACTGGCTAAGTTTCCAACTAGAGCCCTGGAAGGTTCCTCCAGAGCAGTAACGCACTTTTCTCAACAAGCCCTCGCCCCAAGCTAGTCTAGGCCCCTGACAGATTTCAGTTTCTCTTACTGGTGTGGTTTTCCTCACAGGCACAGCCAGGCTGGGCCCACAAAAGCCCGAGCTCGGGGTTGGGGGTGGGGGGGTGGGAGAAGGAGTTGCTTTGCTACATGGAAAGATTAAGCCCTTTGTCAGAGAACAAGGTCCCGCCATCAGGCATGCCAACACCCGAGGCCGCATCTGTGCGACCTCACCAGCAGAGCTGGCGCCCGGGGAGACCAAGTTGCTCTCTTTGGCATCACCGACATTGCTCTGAGATGCTCAGGCACTCTCAAAGTCAGCTGTTTCCAGCCAGACCAGGCCCCTCGCCAGGCGCCACCAGGCTTCCCCTGACTGGGTGGGGCTCCCCTGCCTTCTGTCAGGAGTGTTTGGTTTTGCCCCATCCTCTTCTGACCTGAGTGAAAAGCAGACTGGAGGAAGGAGGCAGGGGAGACACGCCCATCTCCTCCCTCTTCGTGCGATGAAAGAGAATCCAGGACGGGAAGCAGCGTGTTCGCGAGCCTCTTTCCGTGTCAGGATCGGGGAGAAGAAAACTGCCCGGGAGGAGAGGAGCATGAAGGGAGGAGCCGGCAAGGGAGGCAGGCCTCTTCTTTTCCATCTCCTCGAAGACGCCCGCCGGCCCCGCAGAAGTGCCGCGGGCCCACCCGGGCCTGGACGGGGCGCCTCTCCCTCCAGCCAGGCAGGGGCGCCTCGTCGACTTCATCAAGCAAAGGCAGCCGTTTCTTGCACAGAGTTTGCACAGTGCAGGAAGCAATCAGAGAAACAGAAGAGCGGCCTTCGTGAAGCTCTGCTGCTTTCTGGGCCGAGGAGGAAAGGGAATCAGAGGCATGGAGGAGCCTCCAGGGCAGCAGGATGTGGCTCGAGAACCCTGGTGGTACGTCAGGGTTCCTGGTCCCACAGTCGAAGATTGTGCTACATTTCGTTTCCAGAGACGTACCCTTGGGGGTCTCTATTGTCTCTAAGGGGGGAGGGGGCCGCTCTCCTCCAGGCTGGCAGTAAAGAGCTCAGGCATGCTTGCCCCGGTGGGGGTCATGCCCCTGGGAGAACCAGTGATCTCACGAGTGAGGATCTCCCTGGGTGCCCCTCTTTCTGGAGCCCCTGGGCTCTGCCTCACCTCGTCCCCCTGGAATGCTGGCATGCGGGGGAGAGCCTCCCAGGGAGGCTCGGCTCCTTTTGGGGGGAGAACTGGGAGGTGGAAGAGATGGGATAGGGAGGAGTCTCGGAGCTGGTTTTTCCCTGAAGGATCAAATCCCTCTTGTCCAACCTAGACTTGGCCCCATTTACCGGAGGCTGATTCATAGCAAAGGCCCTCAGACATCCCCGTAGGGAAGGAGTCTGTGAGGGAAGTGGGACGCGCTGAACAGCAGAAACGTGAAGACAGATGCTCTGAATCATCCCTCACGGTTCCTGCCCACAAGCCCAACACTGCTGCAGGGCCGCCCCCATCTCCACCGCATCCTCCACGAACCTGCCCGGGCAGAGGACAGGGCATGGCAAAGAGCCCCATCCTGTCCTCAGCTCTGGGTCTCACCTGGGGGAAGCGGGCCTGCAGAGCCAGGACGCTGTACCTGGCCAAGCAGGGTTCCCAGGAGAGGGAGCACTCTGGGGGGGACCGTGTTCCCTCCTTTCCCCACCCTCCCCTCTTCGAAGGTGCTCCCCGCCCCAGGGAAGGCCAGGCGGCACACTGTGCCCCTGCCTCTCCCGGGACAGGCTAGCTCCCAAACAGCTTCTCAGACAAGCCCCTGTATCGAGGAGGATGAGGAACAGACCCTGAAACCCAGCCATTCAGTCACACGTGCGCGTCAGCCTCACTTGACCTCACCATCATGGGGGGATCCAGGTGGGGATTCGTAACTGATTGGTGCAGAGGGTTAAAGAGGGTAATTCCCTAAGGTCAACCTGGGGGGAATTACTTCCCTGGGGGGAGAGGTGGGATAGGAGAGGCCCAGCTCCTGGGCAGGTCTGGCAGCTAGGGACTGCAGCCAGGTCAGTGCAAGTTACCAACAGGTCAGGCCTCAGCTCCGGCTGGACCTTCTGCGCGCTAACCTGCCCCCCAAGGCGAGGGGACCGTGGCCTACAGCCACCCAGAGGCGGCTCTTCGCTGGAAGCCGTCCACCTTCTCTGTCTTCCTGGACCCCTCAAGGAAGGAGGGTGATCTCCCTCCCTGATAGCCCCCATTCCCTGCTGGGAGTGGTGGGTGGCTGCCCCTTCATCTCGGTAGCGCCACTTGGAGCTGCATCAGCAGGTGTCTACGCGATCCTAGGAGTCTTTACTAATCCCACCATTCCAGAAGTGTAGACTATGTTCACGCCATCCTGAGGGTGACTGTTTGGGAGAGGTGAATACCTCACAGACAGGATATAAAATACCCTTTTGTGAGCGAGTTTCCTCCCTCTCCCCACCCTAGGGTCAAAGAGTACAGAGCCCTTTGCCTTATTTTTAGAAACAGGAGATATGCGCGCATTACCCAATCCCGACAACCAGAGAGAATTTCTGCCTAAAGAGAAAAGCCGACCCAGCTGCCTCCTCCCTCTCCCTACGCCCACAACAGTCCTCATCTGTGATAAGACAAGAATGGAGGCTCTGGCAGAAGCCAGGAGCCCATTTGGTTCATTTCTTACTGCCCTTACCCACTTTCCATCTGTGGGCAGGACCAATGGGGTTTTCCTGGGAGGGAGGTTACCAGGCTCTGGCTTCGACCTGATGTGGGTCCCTACCAGGAAAGGAGGCCCTTTGGGTGGAGATGCCTTTATATCCTGAGAACCTCCTCCCTCTCCGCTCAGAATCCGCCTCTAGGCCCATCTGTCCGGCTTTGGTTATGAATGGAGTCCAAGCACTCAGGTCCCGAGACCGCCCCACTCCTCAGCTGGGTCGCTCCCCTCCACCTTGCGCATGTGGGTCAGAGTCATACAGCGCTTGGGGCTGACGTCTGGGGAAGAGGCAGAGGGGCGGTCTTCTCCATACCCTGATGCCCTCCTGCCGCCTCTTTCCTCCCCACCAGACACAGACCCAAGGGCTGCCGTGTGTAACCCCTGGGCAACCTCTTGCCTTTTGCCCCAGACCTGAGGAGGGAGAGGACAGATCTGGGCATTCCCAGCAGACATCTCATGGGTCCAGGCCCTGGTAGCCTCCCCCACACAGGGCCCAGCTGTCCTATAAAGTCAGAGTTTGAGGGACTTTGGGAGGCTCCAACCAGACAAGGGCAGAAAGAAAGCAGAGGCAGGTGAGGTGCGGAGAGCAGGCCGGGCCACTCTCCAGAGGGCAGCTGCGGGGCGCAAGGAGGCGGGGAGGCCAAGAGGGGAAAGTATTGCTTGTACAGAGCTGGTGACTGTGGCAGGCTAGCTGAATCCAGAGCCAGGCTGTCCGTGAGGCTGCGAAGCTGGAGCCCAGGTGAGTCTGAGCTCCCAGACAGGGACCCTGGTCTGGAAATGAGCAAACAAAGAGAGACCCAAATGGTCAGCCTCATGCAGCTAATCCCCAAAGGTCAGACAGGAGTCTCAACAGTGGCACAGACAAGGGGAGCCCCAGCCCTCCTCATTCCAGAAACAGCCCCACCCCCAGCGCTTCCTCCACAAGCCAGGCCCCACCAGGATGCACCCCGAGGAGGACAAGGCCACCCCCAGGGCCTGGAGAACACACAGGAACCTCCAGGAACCATCTGCTTTGGCAGAGTACCTTCCCCCTGAGGCCAGCCTCCGGGGCGTCAAGACCGTCCAAGTCCACACCTCCTGGGATCCACTGGGAGAGCTCCTTTGGCATGTTGGAAGCAAGGAGGTTCAGAGGAAGGCAGGAGGTGGAGAACGATGCTAAAGGGAGGTGCCTGCACTTCCCTCTAAGGGGCCTGGCCAGCCACCCTGGGAACTAAGTCTTCCTAGCGGTGTGCTGCGGAAGCGAGGAGGTGATCTCCAAGCCCGCAGCTTCCCAGGCCTGGTCTGCTCGCCCGGCCCCCAGCCAAGGCCCTAGGTAAGCATGCTCCAGGCTGCAGGTCCATTCGGTGGGAAGAGCTGCCAGAGCGCTGGGCAGGGAGGACGGTCCCCGAGGGGCTTCAGTGTGGCCAGCTGCAGTGGGTACTACATTCCTCAAAAAAGAGCCGCGGTGCTGAGAGAAGCACAGGTGGGACATAGGACAAGGCAGAGAACAAGCAGGGACGACCAAGAGGCAGCCCCGACAGGGACACGTGGACTCTGCCCTGGGCACAGGACCAGGCAGGGGGGATCGGCGGCCACATCCCCCGCTTCTGCCCCTGGACTCAGGGATCCACGCCCACACAACACTCCTTTGGGTTTCTTTTCAACGAGACACAGAGAGATGTGGATTTTAGCTCATGTAGTCACCAGGACTGACTGTACCCAAACAGGTGAACGGATAAAACATGGTCGCACACAGACACAGACACACACATACACACACAAACACACGCACACACATACATACTACGATCTCCACTGCCAGCTGGGACGGGCCCAGTAGCCAAAAGGCATGCAGCAGGGCAAGGGTCCAGAAAGACACAAAGACTATGTACAGGGGAGGGGAGTGCCATGAGGCACCCCTTCCCACACTATATCCCGGCCTCTTTGGAGGTCCTTAGGAGCAGGAGGGGCTGGTGGCACTCTCCAGGGAGGACTGGGACAGGCGCCTGGTGAGGGATCCAAGCGTAGAGTCTGCCACTGAGGACGTGGGGAAGAGTTTGTACCAGCCGGTGACCGCAGCGGTCAGGTCCAGCTCGTCCAGCATGATCTGGGCCATGCCCATGAAGCATTTGTGGTCCATGCGGCCGTAGTCTCCCCAGACGATCACCTGCCAGGGAGGGAGGGGCAGGAGACGGGGGCGCTGAGCCAACTCCCTGACTCCGGGGCTCAGTAGTGGGCCCAGGAACCTACAAGTCTCACCAGAGCACAGATGAGGCAGAGAGAGCCGGAACTAAGACTGATTTGGGGGCAAGAACTTACTGAGCACTTAAGGCGTGCCAGGCTCCAACATACGGACTTCTCTCCATTACCTCAACTGTTACAGCCATCTAGGTAAAGGTGCTGTGTATCATCATTGCAACAAAGAGGAAATGACCACTCAAAGAGGTTAATTAACTAACCCAAAGATACACAGTAATTGGTGACAGAGCTGGGATTGGAACCTGGGTCTGACTGCCACAGCCTCCCAGCATCTCAGATGACAGCCTTCCCCATTTAGGAGCAGACTGAGAGTCCGGGACCCGAGTCACAGCTCCTAGTCTGCTGCTGGCTCACAGCGGAGCTGGGGGAGACCCCTGGCCCTCACTGAACCTCAGTGTTCCCATCCAGAAAACTGGAAGAGGGGAAGAGATTAGCTCGGTGATTTTCAAACTTGTATTTTTGTCAGTGGATCCTTTTTTCAAAATGGAATCACAGTATACATATACAGGAAAACAGACACCCAGGATCCTCCCTGCCCCCACAGAACCCTAGGGTTCTGCAGTCCTGGCCATTTGGGACCCCAAGGGCCCTTGCCACACAAGGACCCCAGCCCAGAGGAACAGCCCTGGATGAGCAGTCACACAGCCCAGACAGCCCTGGCTCAGGCCTCTCCTCTGTCCCCCTCTCCTCTGTCCCCCAAGCCACCAGCCACTACCACCAGCTAAAACCCAGAGAGCCACTGTCTGCGGGCCAGGCATTCGGTGAGGCCCTCCACGTGAGTCTCTCATTTACACTTCATAGTATACCATCCACAGACCTCGATGGAGCCGGACCTTGAACCCAGGACTGAACCCAGACACCAGCCCCCACTTAGCCTCTGGCTAAGCCCCTCAGCTGCTTCATCTGTGAATGGGCGTGATGATCCCTCCCTCCCCGAACAATCACGAAGGCCACCGCCCTCTCTCAGAGTTGGGGTGGCATCACCTTGGCCAGGGTCTCCTTGGCTTTGCACATTGCTCGGTGAAACCTCAAGCGAGTTACTTCTCCTGAGACTGCAAGATGGGGAGAATCATACCCACGTCGCAGCATCATGTAGAGGACGCAAGCAGGTCAGGATTAAAAAGCCCTTTGTCCAGAGCCTGGCACGGAGCTGATACGCAATAAGCACCAGGCAGAAAGAGAAGGCAGTGGTCAAATGCTGCTTCTACCTACCCACTGAGTACCCTGGGGGTGGGGTGGGGTGGGGGAGCAGCGGACTTGTCCCCCTGAACTCTGGTTTCCCTGAGAATCAACCAGGGGCAAAGACCCCTCACTGGGCTGTGAAAACAAACAGTTCATGAGCATCGATGCACCTGGTACCATGCCTGACCCAGGACACATCCTACACAAAAGAGATTTTAAATTATAACTTGCAGTCCTGGGGAGTCGCCCTGTCCCAGGGGCCCCCGTAGAACTCACCTGCAGCACCTTGCCCTGGGGCCCCTCATCGAAGAGCAGAGCCTGATGGTACAGGGGATCACAGGTCTTCTTGGCCACCTTTGTCTTCTTTTTGGCCAAGCAGGCCCCGTTTTCAAGCAGGTAAACCTTGATATAGGTGGCTGAGGGATGGGAGAAAGTATGCTGGGGAGGAGTCCAGGAGAGACTGCTATGGTCTGCTCCATCCCCTGACATCCAGCTGCTCCTGGAGGTGAGCGAGCTGTGTGGGATGAGTTGAGTGGACAGCAGTAGAAAAGACGGACTCGAAACACTGACTCATCCAACCTCCCTGCTGCCCGTCCCCCACCAACTGTCTGCTGGCCTTCCAGGTAAGCCATGACTCCAGGGTCAAGAATACTGATCTAGGCCAAGGGGCAGCCGAGGACGTGCTAGACCCAGAGCTCAGTGGCATACCCCTGCCTGACAGGACCCCCATATCCGAAACCCCTCTCCCTGCTGCTCAGCCTCACCTGGGAGGGATTTGGAGCCTGGTTTGGGGGTCAGGCCCCGAGCCTCAATCACTTCCACCTCCAGCTGGCCACTCCGGTCCATGATGGCAATGTGCACGTCCCCTGCAAGGGAGAAGAGGGAAAGTCCAGGCAGAGGCAGAGCCAGGGGCGGGCCGGCCAGCTGCTGTGCTGACAGCAGTCTGCAGAGGGCGCTATGCTGCTGGAAAGGGCACAACATGTGACCATGGCTTGCGCCAGAATTGCTCTCCTGAGGCCACTTGAAAGCAGCTGAGAAATCCTTTGATAGGTACCCTGGGGCAAGGGCGGGGGTGGGGCATGACCCTCAGGGGGTATGCTTGGATAGCAGCGGATGGCTGCCAAACTCCCAGGTTTAAGTCTGGTTAACTGGGGGGCTCCTCTCTTACTCAGCAGAATAGTGGCCCTCGGCCACTCCCCAAATATTTACAGACAATCAGTTCGAAGAGATGCTGAGATAGGAGCCTGTGCGGGACAGGAGGCACTGCCTGGGAACGCAGGCCTGTTCACACCCTGGCCAAAGGATGCAGGGAAGCCCAGATTTCCTGGGAACAGAGAACTGGGAAGTCCTCACTGTGCTCCCACAAACGATTACCTCGCTGAGGCAAGTTCTGTATGAAGTCATGTCAAGTTATTTCTAGAACTCTCAGCTTTGTTCAACATCGGTTAGCGGAATTTGAAATTATGCATTAGTCACTTGGAGCATCCTTCAAAGGAATGCAGAATCATAAGCCTGATGCAGAGAAATTAGAATTGGCCAGACTTTGGGTTCAGCCACCCATTTTAGATACTCTGAGCTATCATGCAATTGTTTATATTTGCATACTTGGGAGGATGGGGATTTTATTACTTTCAGGAAACATCCTGGATGTCATCACCCTCCCTTCTAGCTATTTCTGACCTCCCCGTGTTTGAGGGAAGGGGGAGGTCTCACTGTAACATTCCTAACGAGAGGAGACAAGCAAAGGCAAGCCTGTCCTTCCCACTTCTAGACACCAGGAGGCATCACACGCAAGTGTTCCAGGCTGGGAAGGCACAAAAGCCTCGTGGAGGTGGGTGGCTCCTCTCACTGCCTCCCAGACCCTGGCTGGGCCTAGGGCTGGGAAAAGTAGATGCCCCAGGCCCTTAAGAGCCTGTGAGCAAGAGCTGGGAATTAGCAAGGCTCTTACCCTAGAGCCAAAGGAGAGCTGGTGCTCACCCTCTGAGGGTCCCTGTGGACAAAGGCTCCTGTGAAAGCACATCTGAGGACAAGGGAGCAGTGCAGTGGGATGAGAACTGGCCTGGGACAGAAACCCAGCTCCACTGCATGGCTCACAGCAAGCCACTGCCCGAGCCCGGCTTCCTAGGTTGCTGTGAGATTAAAGGTCGAACACTGTTCCAATGAGGACTGAATCCAGACGCTTAGGCAGACAGCTCAGGTCAGACTGATGGGGAATGGGGAGAGGCAAGGGGGCATCTCTGGGGAAACGAGTTCCTGGGAGGAGCCCCCGAAAGCCAAAAGGGCCAGTATCTAAGACAGAGTGGGAGAGGGAGGCAAGAAGGAGAGAGGGAGGGAGGAGGGAAGGGGCCAGAAGTGCAGCTAAGGGGACCAAGTAGAGACTCTGGGAAACAGGTCCCAGTGGCAGGGGAGGGGGCTGAGAAAATTATTTAAAAGGCTTTTAGGTGCCAGGCAGTTAGAAGCAACAAGTCCAAAAAGACACAGTTCTCAGGAGTAAATGAAACACTTCATTCAAAGCATCGAATAGGAACTCGATGAATTGTTGTTAGGCTGCGGAACTAGGACAGGGATTCTTAGTCTCATTTTACAGATAGGAAGCCGAGGCTCAAAGAAGGGGAGTGACTTGCCCAAGGTCACATGGAGCGTCAGGAGTAGCACAGACTCGGGGAACATCAATGCTGTGACACCTCTAGTTCACCACCTTACATCGAGCAGGCCGGCCATAGGGCTGGCCATCGGAGACTCTGTGGGTGTGTGTGCGCGTGCAGGCGTGCACGCGTAGCGAGGGCAGGAACGTGCTATAAACTGCTGCAGGGCAGCCAGTGGAGCTGAGCTGGAACCCCTGTCTTCTCGGTAGAAGGAGGGACCGTGGAGGGCCTGGCCGACTCCTTTTCATTGGTGCAAAATCCAGAGTGAGGGCTCCTCTCCGCAGCTAGCACTGTGTCACACAGGGGACCCCACGGAGCCCACCCCTTCCGTGCCATGGCCGCCATCACCCCCCTCACTTGGCCCTCAGGAGGACTCACCCATCGGTGGCGTCGCCAATGTCTGTCGCCCCACAATCTGGGCTGGTCCCAGCCCATCCAGGAAATCACTGAACTGGCTTTCAGCCCCAAGCCGGGTGGTGGGGAAAATGAACCTGGAGGAACATGCGGAGAGGTACATGAGGTGGCCTGGATGGTGAGATGCAGTGGCCACGACCCTCTGTGCCTCAGTTTCCCCTCTCCATATCACAAGTTCCCTGCTTTAGCTAGGGACATACAGAATTCTTCATCTCTGCCCATTAAAGAAAAATGCTCTGATGTCCCTTGTGAAATAATAAACATAACATAATAATGTTATCTAATCCTCAAGCACCAGGGTTTTCTAAGGTGACCCTTAGAAGGTAGGGCTTGCTGGACGCCTCTGTCCTCCCCAGGGGATATGAATGCCAAGAACCGGAAACACAGGCCAGAAATTTCAACGCCTGGGGCAAGTTCCAAGAACTGAGGTTTAGTTGACCATATGTTTGAAATCCAAATCAATAACGTGAGGTGGTGCCCAAAACAGCAACCGAGACCAAAATAACACAATTATAGGGTTGAGAGAAAAGGCGAACGGTGGTGGGTGGACCCTGGTTGTGGGGGCCTGGAAATAGTAGCAACACTGACGGTGATTCAAAGCTGGCCGGGTGCCCAGGGCCCACTAAACGCTCGGCATGGGTCATGTTCGTTCCCGCCATTCTGTGCGGCAGGAGCTATGCCTGTTTGACAGATGAGAGCACAGAGGCTCTGAGAAGTAGGAGACTTGCTTTGACTGCAAAACAGAGACAAAGCCCACCTCGCAGAGCTACAGCGGGGACTGGGGCAGCTGGTGAGGGAAAGGTTCCAGACAAGCAGGAAACAGTAAAATGGCTGTTATGATGTTGCTGCTGGGAACATCGAAGGAAGGGGCCTCTCCTCATGCATTCAAGACCACATGTTCTGGGGGTGGCCAGTAGAGAAAGGACTGATGGGGGAGGACAGGCCCAGGTGTGCTCAGCGGCTACAATGGACCAAAGTTGATGAGACCTCCTAGGATGGCTGGGGTGTCTGGTCTGAGAGATCAGACTGTCCCAGAATGACTCCCCAGTTGGAAAGTTTGGTCTTGAGTCCTCCTTGGCCAGCAACAGACAGGGAGAAAGGTTGCATACGCTTGTCGAAGAGGGCCTGAGTTTCTCCAGCTAGGCCAGCCTCCACTCCGTGGGAAGGGGCTCTGAGGCCCACCCACTGTTACTGGCCATCAGCAATGGCCCCAGACCGCACTCTGAGGAAAACAGGATCTGAGGAGGTTAAATAAGGTCATGAACTCTCAAGGTCACAGAATTTTAGGAGCTTGGTCTAGAGAACGTAAAGGTTGTGAACAAAGGTTGAAGAGTCAAGTGGCCTTAATTCAAATCCTGACTCCGCCACCACTGAACAGCTGTGACCTTGGATAGGATACCTCACCCTCCTCCCATGCCTCAGTCTCTCCACACAGAACATGGAGATCAGTGCGATATCCCTCATTGTTAAATGAGATACCAGTTTTTGTCTGATGGTGGCCAGTGGATCCCAGAGTAAGAAGCAGCCATCTGAAGTGCCCAGTGACACCCTGCATACGGTGGGACACAGTAAATGCCACTTGCATTCCTGGGAGTGGGCACAATCATGAGACGCGAGATCACAGAATTCTAAATAATAGAGCCTCAGGGCCCTACAATCCATGGGCCTTGATGAGGCCGAACCAGAAAATCTTATTCGTATAACCAGCTTCGTCACAGATTTGGGAGGGACTGAGGGAATAGCTAACCCAGTGATTTCTGAATTTTTGACTGCAACCCCCATGCAATGGAAAAAGTCCATTTAACATCATAAGCCTCTGTGCATCCCTATATTAAAAAACCAAAACAAGGGGTGCCTGGGTGGCTCAGTGGGTTAAAGCCTCTGCCTTTGGCTCAGGTCATGATCCCAGGGTCCTGGGATCGAGCCCCGCATGGGGCTCTCTGCTCAGCAGGGAGCCTGCTTCCCCCCTCTCTCTTTCCCTGACTCTCTGCCTACGTGTGATCTCTGTCAAATAAATAAATAAAATCTTTAAAAAACAAAACAAAACAAAACAAAAGTTCGCAAGGTAATTCATCCTCACACCACAGGATATGTTTGAAATTTCTATTCCTTTCCCTAATGCCAGTTTTGACCCACTAAACTGATTTTACTTCTGCCTGAGTCACCAACCACGGTCTAAAAAACACTGATCCACTCTAACCTCCTTCTCTAAGCTCCATGCAAGACCACTCATGAGAACTCCATTCATACCTGAGCTGTAACAGTGGTTTCAGATCGAAAAGGATTTGGGGTTCATACTTTCCTCTGGAACAGGGCAGTGTAGGTGCTGGGGGGTGGGCAGCATGAAACACACAGACAGGATGCACCACCCCAGGGGCGCTGGGGTATTTGGATGGGGAAACACAGCCCGGAGCAAGAGGAAGACCGGGGCGCAGGCAGCGGATGTCCACGGAAGGCGGGGATGCAGAGGAACCCACACATCCGGACCCGAAAACCAGCCAGATTTTCCACCCCACCCTGCCTCCGGTTCTGAGACTAGAGGACCATGCGGGAAGGAGGGGGCCACAGTGGGCATGGGTTGCACGCACGTGCCCTCGGAGCTGTTGCTGTTGGTGCTCCCATCCGTGGACTCCCGGCTGCCCTGGCGTGTGACCCGACTCCGCATCTCCACAGCGATGCCCGTCTCCGTGCTCCGTCGGATGGTGCTGCGCAGCTTCTTGGTAGCCCCTTCTGGGACCCCCAAAAACATAGAAAGGGAACAAGGTCAGATCGTGGGTGAGGGTTCTGTGAGAATGCTGCCAAGGTCACTTCTTGGGCTCTGGCTGGAGGCAGGGGTGCTACTGAGCTAGTCTGCACAGTGACAGGCACAAAGACCAGAATGATGACTGAAGGCAGAGTCAGGATGATGGGGCTGTGGGGCGGGGAGTCGCCAGGTGGAGCCAACCCCTGCAGCGCTCACCCACATCCCTGCCAGGCTCCCTGAAGGCCATCTTCCCAACTCAATTCCAGCCCTTGCCCCACATGGGTAAGTGTTCCTTTCTCTTCTGGAAAGGTTGCTTTCTCTGGCATTCCCAGATTTGCTTTCCCTCTTCCGGGAAACCTCATGAACCCTATCACATCCGGACCTCACCCTCCACCTCTGTGATACCTTCATAGACCCAATTAAAAAAAAAAAAAACCCACAGGAAGCCTGGCCACACTCAAACCAACCCACATTCTCAAGGTGGGTCTGAATGTGGACGGGTATGTATGTGGAAGGGTGCAGAGGCCATTAGGGAAACAAGACTGAGAGGGACCACTAGGTTGACCTGAACTGACCTTGGCTTTGAGAAAGAGGTCTGCAGAAGAACCCTAGAAGCCATGTGGTGAGAGCTCACTCCATGTCTCTACCTCTTGTCTGGAGGGCCCTCTACTCTCACCCCAGCCCCCACCTTGAGCCTTGCAGGGAACATGGGGCACTTTGCCTCTCCCAGCAGCACACCATCCTGCCTGGGTTTCCATGGCAACCTCTTCAGCATTGCAGCAAGGTCCCCCTAGACACCCTCTCCTCCTGGGGTGGCGGGGGGAGCATTAGACCGGTTGAACTAAAGGTTTGTAGGGCCTGCCTCTGCTGAAGCTTCACTGCCTGAAGAGCTTGATAGGGAGGAAAGTGGCATCACATAAGGATTGTGCCGAAGGAGCCACTGGTTAGACACCTGGGCAAATTAAGAGTGGAATTGCCAACAGGGCTGGGGAGGCCAGGAGTGGGGCCCGGCAACACAGCCTCCAAAAGCTGTGGGGAGGGGGGAGCTGATTATGCTGGCCAGCCCCTCTCTGAGCCACACCCAATGGTGGGTTAGGGAGGGGTTGTTCAAAATGCCAGCCTCATAAAAGAAGACTTTAGTTTTCCTCTTTCATCCTACTTATATTTCAGGAAGTCCCACTGCGGGGTGGGGGGAGGTTAAGAGGGCCAGAATCCCCCGTGAATGGGATTGGGGGACGGAGTGAGGCTGGGCCGGTGGTGAGAAGGAATGTCTTCTTGGAAACCAGCCCAGCTGCTGTGATATTGGAATAGCTACTGTCCACAAGTCAATGAGACCACTGCTATATCCGTCAGTCTGTCTTTCTCCCCGTCTCTCTGTCTGTCTGTCTCTCTCTCTCTCACACACACACACGGTCACTTGAGCCAACACGTATTTCTTTCATGCAGGCATAAGCAGATACACATGAGTGCTAACAATCACATGTATGAGTACAGCATCTCCCACACCAGGTCACATACACTCATATGATGGGCACACAATCACTAACAGTCCTACATGATCTTAGTCATACTCTGCCACACACATGACGCTCACACCATAACACCTGATTGAACACCTCCAGTCAGTCACACACAGAGATACAAACTCACAAATGTTGTGTAACCCAACACACAGAGGACTGGGCAATGATGGTGGGTATAGGGGGATTGCTCTGTCCATGGTTCCTAATTGCCATATCCCTTCTAACCAATTAGAAGACAGATGGATCTGTGGGAACTGCACTTTACCCTCCTCCATATCCCCCCAAAAACACACACCCTGAACTGAAGCCAGAGCCCCTCCACCCCATGGCCCCAACCCTCCTCTTCTAGACCCACTTGGGAGAAAATTTACCTCAACCCACTGCGGGCCCCTGGGTGGGGGTGTCACAGAATCCTGAAGTATTAGAGACACCTTGCTAGCCCCCGACTCCCATTTCACAGATGGGGAGCCTGAGGGCCACATGCTCACAGGGCTGGGGCCAGAAGCCAGGCCCACACTCCCCTGGTCTACTGGCGGCCTCCTTTTCACTCCTCTCCATCAAGTCCATATAGGTTTGAGAAGTGATTCAGCACAGGTTAAGTTCCACATCTCCTGGGTGGGGAGAAAGTTCTTGCAGCCTCAGAGAAAATTCATATACTGGTTTCATGCTTGTCTGGTCTGAACTCTGTCGATCTGGGAGTAACTTTATGTGGTCTCTCTCTCTCTCTCTAGAAAACTGGGCCAAGTTGCTTACAATAATTCTGTAGTGCCTGGAGACTGAAAGCCTCCAGGAACCATCCCATCTGTCCCACCACATATAAGGGAGAGGCAGAGCCTTCAGCAGCGCTCTCCATGGCATCTTTGGACCAGTCCTGAGCCCTCTCCCCTCCAGAGCCCAAAGCCTAGGTGGGAAGGGCTGCTGTCCCTGGTACTGAAAAAAAGAGCTCCTTTTGATCAAAGGCTAGAATGGTCCAGCCTAAGGCCCGGCCAGAACCTACCAATGTTCTGGGACACCAGAGCTCTGACCCTACTCTCATCATTGCTCCCACAACTCAGAGTATGTTAGATCTAGAAAGAAACTGGGAGACGGTCTTTATGGTTCCATTTTAACAGAAGAGGAAATTGAGACCCAGTGGGAATGTGAGTTTCTCAAGGTCCCAAGGGTAGTTACAGAGCCAGAATAAACTCTAAAGTTTCAGGGTGATTTTATGAGTTAAATGTGAAGAATAAACTGGAGGGGGCAGGCATGAGGCAGGGGAATTACCTGAGGTAATAGTCCAGGCTAAGTATCACAGGGCCTGAACTAGGACTGAGGCTTTGAAACAAACAGGAGGAGATGGGTGGGGCCGTAGCCCAGACAATATAGACAGACCAGGAGGAGGGAAGCCCCTAGAGGGGCAGACCTAGAGCTCAGAAGATTGTGTCCCAACTTCATACAGCCTGGCCCTGCAGGGATCCTAGTAAGGAACTGAGCTATCCCATCTGGGGATAGCAGGAACACCCTGCTAGGATCTTTTTCCAGAACAGAATTTCCCAGCCCAGTGCCCATGGTGAGTCAGCCCATACATCCCGATGGGGCCAGACTCTCCTACTCAGGATGGGGCTCCAAGCTGAGACACTGGCAACCTCAAGGCTGGGGAGAGGAGCATGCTACAAGCAAGGGGCAGAGCTGTGGGGGCTAGAGAAGTCACTTCTTACTTGGTCCTACTGTGTGATCATGGCCAATAAGAACACTGACAATTTACCAAATATCTACTATGTGCCAGGCATGAGGCTGAGTACCTTTGCTTATCCTATCTCATCCAATTTCCTGGACAACTCTGCAAGGCAAGTGTCATTGTCCTTATTCCACAGTCAAGGAAGCAGACTCAGAGAAGTGAAATAACACGCCTGAGTCACCCAGCTAGCAAATGACAGGGTGTGGCTCAAAAGGCCAACTTGAAGTTGTTCTCTAGGAAAGTGCCTCTCCTCTCCAGGCTCACATGCCTCATCGACAAAATGAGCATGTTGGACTAGATGATCCCGAGGGGCCCTCCCTACTCTCACAACCAGAGACTGGGTGATCCAAAGAGACTCAGTTAAAAGTGCATCTGGGCCATTCATCTGGCTCCAGTCCCAGGCCTTCAGCTGTGCCCTTGCATACTACGGACACAAGTGATCCTGAAGCCCTGTCATCATTCATCTCCCTTTGAGACTTGAGGTCTTCTTGGTGTCTACTCCAATCCCTGCCTGCTGACTGTGGAGTCTGGGTAGGTGGACAGTCCCAGGCCGACCACTGGAATATCTCCCAGTTACTCAGGCCCCAGCCCTGGCTTTGGAAGACTGTCTGTCCAGATCACTTGGGCACGAAGAAGCCTTTGGTTCTGAAGCTGAATCAAGTGGATTCAGCTGGAGATCAGTAGGGCTAGGTCTCCTGAAGCTGCATTCCTGGGGCCCAATACCTCCTCAAATTCATCTTAATCCCTTAAACTTAATCCCACTCCTTGGTCCTTTACCAACCCAACTCCTGAATCCCTATCTCCTTGACTCCCTGGTGCTGGGCCTAAATTGCATACTTACAGAGGCTATGCCCATCCTGGGGTACTGATAACCTCCAGCCCCCTCCCCATCCAGCATTTCCCTGCGCCAGAAACCGCATCGCAGCTCGATTGCTGGAAAAGACCATCCCACGTGCTCCTGCAAAGGGCTTTGTAAAAATCTATTTTAAGGCCTGGAAAAGTCTCCCACCCTCAGCCCCAACCAGGAGTCTTGACGAGCATTCTCTCTGGATCCTCCGGGGCCCCCGCCCCCTCACCACCCCCATCCAGCTGCCCTATTTGAAGGTTTCCTGGGGAAGTTGTTACTCTGAACAAAACAAGCAGGAAGAGATTTTAAAACAAAACCAGCTGGTGTCTGGGCTGATGCTTCAAAGTGAGGAGGTCTTCGGGGGGGAGCGGGCTGGCTCCTCTGTGATGTGGGGTTCAGCATGACTGTGTGTGTGACAAAGTGGGTCGCCCACTGGTCTGAGCAGAACTGGCATTCCAAAACTAAGTGTTTGAGAAAATACATTTTCCCAGATGCAGCTGGTAAGGGGTGTGTGACTCTGGACTCACGAGATATGTGCGTGTAGGAGGGCAACGTGCTTCTGTGGCCACGGGCCATTGCGTGTGCACGCATGTGTCACTATTCTTCTGGCATCCGGGTCTCTACATTAGTACTTGGAGGGCTCTGCCTGGGGGATTCGCACGACTGGCTTTATCGTGACCACAAACAGTATGAATGACTGTGATACGCTCTCCCGGCAGTAGGGGTGGCTCACCCCATGTGACCACGCATGGCGTGTGTGTCTCTCCGGGGACTTGGAATGCAGAGGCACAACTAACTACATTCACGTGCCTGTTGGCACTTGGGAGACTCCGAGAACACAGGAGAGACCGAATCCTGCAGACGTGCGTCCGTGAAGGTGCGTCCCTTGGCATAGGGCCAGGAATACAAGGGCCAGTTCATGAAGAATGGATGAGAGATATGTCAGTCTGTGCATGGGGGGCGGCGGGTGTAGAGTTTAGGAGCACAAACCCAGAATCCCAGCTGCTGGGCTCTGAATTCACTAGCTATGTAGTTTGGGGCATCTTCCTGCCCCTTCTCTGTGCTTCGTGGAGTGGGCGGGGATTCCGCGAGGCAGTACAGGGACCCGACCCAGAACAGCACGTTGTATAGGGTACGTGCTACAGAAGTACTTGTGGGTGTGAGGACCCTCCCTGGGTGCCCCGTCATTGCAAGGTGCCCCCAACCCAGCCCCCCGTGTCCTGCACCCACTCACCAGACTGGGGCAGCTGCAGCGTGCTCTTGCTCCACTGGGTCAGGCCCACGATGGCCACCATCTTGGCTCCAAGGCTGCTGCGCCGCTTCTTGGCTGTGGTGGTCCCAGCCCCACCCCCAGCCTGCTGGGAGCCGCAGATCTCACCACTGATGCTGGAGCTCCGAACCACGTTCCTGGAGGCCGCGGCCGAGGCCGGACCCGGCTCCCCGTTAAACATGGTCCGAGGGGTGGTGAAGCCTCAGCAACCCTGTGAGGGAGGGCAGGAGAAAAAGAGGTCCCACATCAGGACCCCAAGCCACTCTGCTGTAGCCCACTGCTTCCTAGCTGTGTGACTTTGGGTCAGTCACTTGGCCTCTCTGAGCTCGTGAGGATTAAATGAATAAATAAAGGCAGAGTATACCCAGGGTCCAGCTCATTAAATGGTATCATTCTTAGGAACACATGGCAGTCCCGGCAAGTGACCTGGTTTGGCAGTAAAGGCAGAAGCTGCGGAGTCATTCGGCCCACTCTTGAATTCCTAAGTCCTCTACACACTGGCTGTGTGATCTTGTGACCAAGCACCTTGGGGTTTCAGTGAACACCTCAGCAAAACAGGAAATACAAGCACTTACCTCACAGGGTTGTTGTAAGGATTAAATTAGAGCATGTGAAGGCGCCTAGAACAGTGTCAGGCGTGGAGTAAATATTTAGGAGGTGTGATTACTTTCACAGCCAATAATAAGAACAGGGAGAGCAACAGTGGCCCCAGGCTGGGGAGACAATGGAAGGGGACCTCCTGCTAAAGGGGACAGCACAGAGAAGTATAAAGGAGCAGGCACGAGTCACCCTTAAGCACACGGCAGAGTGGCAGCCACTGGAGGTGATTTAACCCGAATCCCAGGGTCTTTCTTACGCATTTTAAAAATACACTGAACTCATATCGCACATACAATTTTACATCCTGGTATTTTTCATTTAACCTCTGATCATGAGCATCTCCCAATGTCATTAGCATGTTGTAATATACGGCACACGTGTTTTAATACCACCACAATAGTCCATTGTGTGGTGGTAGCATAATTGACTTAACTATTTCAATACAGTGACCTCTGAGGTCAGGCCTGACTTCTTCCCCTCTCCTCTGCCTTTTAAACAACACCGCAACAAATCTCTTTCTACACTGCTTTGATCTGCTTCTTTCCTGAGGATTGATTCCCAGAAACAGAGTGACTGGGCTGGGTGTAGAGACTGCTGGGAGCCTCCCCAGTGCCCACTCTCCCTTCCTGCTTCCTGGCAGACTGCTGCTTTTGTCAGGTACCACCCATCCCATTTTGGAGGCAGATCCTGATTAGTTCAAGTCACTCAGTGAATGGCGCTCACCTGGGTAACTAGTACTGGTCCTGAGGGCAGGCCTGTGACTCAGCTGGCCCGATCTGACTTAAGTGGAAGATTTGGATTCCATGCTTATGGGAAAGGTGGGGTCTCCCTCCCCGCTTCTTCCCTCAAGACCCTTCCCCCTAGAGAGGGCCCAGTCCCAGGAGGAAGCCAGTGTCGCTGAGGACGCAGAGCAAAGGAAAGGACCTCGGGCCACCCTGGAGCCAGCCTTTCTCTGGTCTAGCCAGTTATGGGAGATAATGTGCTTACGACAGTTTGAATCAGTGTTCTCCGTCCCACCCAAAAGCATCCCACCTGACACCAAGGACATAAACATATCTTTGATTCTTAGAAAATATTGCCAAATTCCTTTCCAAAGCTGCCTTCAACAAATATTTAAGCCCCTAAAACTCCAAGGTCTAGGCCGAGTGCCAAGGATATGACAGTAAGCCAGGCCGACATGGTCCTGCCCTCCCAGAGCCACCAGTCCAGGAGAAGAGACAGACAGTAAGTCACCGATTAGGTAATTAAATATTAAATCTGAGGGAAGACAGAGGGCACTGGGAGCCACTCTGGGGGAGCGAGGGAGTGGGGCAGCAGGCGTCTATGGCTAGGTTTTGTACAGAGATGGGATCTCTAGCTGTCTGGCCTCTACAGCTTGGCCAAAAGTCCAATGCAGCAGGGAGCGTGCTCCGCTCAGAGTACCCGAAAAGTGGCTGCTCTGGCAGGCTCTGCCTCCAACTCTTCCCAGCTCTGTCCCGGGCTACAGAGCTCTTCCCAGCTCTTCCCAGGGCAGCTCCCCATCCCGGGCCTAAGGTCACTCTGCTTGACCCTCTGCCCTCAGGCCTGTCACCCTGAGGGAATCTGACTTTTCAAAAGGACAGAGCTGAAGGGGGTGTGTGAGAATGAAGGAGAAGGGAAGGGACCACTCTGGGATTCTGTCCTCAGATAGCTGCAAATGGTGGCCTCTTGCCTCTTGGTCAGCGTGGCTCCTGCCAACCAGGCAAATTGGGGCTGACAGTGGGGATGAGTCAAAGCTGTGTTCTCCCTCCTTTGTGGTTGTCTGGGCCGTTTTTGCTCACCCTGTGATACAGCCAGAGTCCCGGATTATATTTCTCCAGCCATCCCCCATTAACCTTGCAGCTAATGGAAAGTCCCCCTGGACTTGGGCCTATGATGATCTCTTCTCTTTAGTTTCCAATTCTAGTGCCAGTTTGTGTGTTTCTCTGGGTATCTGCATGGTCTCTTGGTGGATAGTGGGAGAAGCCTAATTTACTCTTTAAAGAATTTCTGTTAGGTGTGTGGTAGTCTCCATGTCACAGGTGAGAAAATGGGAGTCTCTGAGAAGTCAAGGCCTTGCCCATCCTACTCAGCTAAGAAATGGCAACACCTGGACTCGAACCCAGGTCTCCCTTTCCCACAAAGGTGCAGACACAGGGGCGCCTGGGTGGCTCATCCTACTCCGGGTTTTGCCTCAGGTCATGATCTCAGGGAGGTGGGATGGAGCCCCCTGTCCTCGGGCTCCACAGCAGGGAGTCTGCTTGAGAGTCTCTCTCTGCCTCTGCCCCTCTCCCCACTCATGCTCTCTCTCAAAATAAATAAATAAAATCTTCAAAAAAAAAAAAAAAAGAAAGAAAGAAAGAAAAAGATGCAGGCACACTCAGCAGCTCCTGCTCCTCCCAGCCAGAGCTCACCCAAAGGTGTGGGCCCATCCCTCCCCTTCAGCCTTTACCCTGGGTCTCTGACTCTTTGAAAACACTAAAAAAAAAAATCTCTGATGAGGAAAATCCTCTGTAGCCCAGGTTTTCACAGCCGGCATGAGCAGTAATGTGAGGGCCAGGAGAAACCCCACCCAGAACACAGCTGTAAGGGCACCAACAGCACAGAGCGAGAGCTCCCCAGGCACAGCCTACAGGAAGCTCGAGTACCACTCCCAGGGGCTGAGAAGGGAGGAAGGTATGGGACAAAATTCCCGACCCCGCCAACCCAGGGGCTCATGTTGCCTCATGAATAATGAATGACATTGACAAGCAGATGGTTTGACATCCAGGACTGGGCCCCATCCGGAGTCTTCTCATCTTTAACCACCCAGGGATCATCCAGGGTGCCTGGAGAGCTTCACAGCCCCGCCACACAGGCCACCCTCCAAGGGACAGGAGGAGCCAAACCCGAAGCACAGGACCCCTGTGTTGGGCGGCCTGGGAGAAATAAGAATAAGGAAGTGGGATTAGAATGTATACAGACTTCTGTCACTTTCTCTGGGCCTTGGTGTCCTCATCTGTGTGTAAAATGAAGCGATAGCCTTAGGTGATCTCTAGAAGCCCTTTTAACTAGAGAGCAGAGCCTGTGGACACACACTGCATTGGCAGGCTCAGAACTGGGGCTCCAGGTGCTTCTCTGACAGCTGGTCTAGCTCAAGAGAAGTGAGAAAAAGTGACAGAGCCGGCCACCTGGCCCCTATGAGGAGGAGGGGGGGCCTCCTCCCAGGGACACTACAGGGCATCCTGGTAGTTCTTTTTTTTTTTTTTTTAAAGATGTTATTTATTTATTTGGCAGACAGAGATCACAAGTAGGCAGAGAGGCAGGCAGAGAGAGAGAGAGGAGGAAGCAGGCTCCCTGCTAAGCAGAGAGCCCGTTGCAGGGCTTGACCCCAGGACCCTGAGATCATGACCTGAGCCGAAGGCAGAGGCTTTAACCAATGAGCCACCCAGGCGCCCCGTATCCTGGTAATTCTGACAGATTGCTAAATGAATCAACAATCCCTGCCTCTGAGCATGACTGTCCCTTTCCCAGCCAAGTTCATGGCTCCCCAATGAAGGGAGCCCTCCCTCACCAGGTCACTCCAGCTCTCTCTGCTGCCTCCCACCTACTGTCACAGCAGCATCTACTACTGTGGCTCAGATTTCCCATCCAGGGACAAGGACTACTCTTCCCACTCCTGAGGGAGCTCCTTGCCAGCTGAGACCTTCCAAGATCCTCAAGGAAGGCATCTAGTGTTTTCTTTCCAGCTGTGGGTATGTGGCCTTCACCCTGGAGTCTCAGTACCCCAAGGGCGCTCCAAACCATCTCTTAAATCTTAAACCCCTCAATAGGGGTCTCATGGCTCTGCCCCTTGGTCCCTTTGACCATGTGTCTAACCAGCTCATGAGCCTTTCCCAAGAGTCAATGAGGCCATCCGAAAGCTCAAGACAAACCCAGCTACCCACCCTTTCAACAGGAGGGAGCAAGGAATCTGTCACAAGGGGACGGATGGGTAGGTCCACCCACAACAATCACTAATCCAGATCTTTCCCATCCAGGCCAGATTTAACCTCAGGATCTCTCTCAACCAACTGGTGAGAACTGGCTCATGATTTGAAATAGAATCACCATCCCTATTCCAGCCTGAGTCTTTCATCTTGTAGAGTGGGACCTCAAGGCCCAAGATGGGAATGAGACACACCCACGGTCACACAGAATGCTGGTGATAAAACCAGAGCTCCAACTGGAGTCTCCTAACTCCCAGGTACCGCATCACCGGGGAGGTGCTTCCTCTCCACTTGGAAGAAAAGCCAAACTCACGGAACTGATGAGTCTGAGAGCAGGGCTCCACATCACAGGGGGCTGTGCCCCGCCCAGTAGCACAGCCCTAGGGCATTTACACGAGGCTGCAGTTAACTTGCCCCCGGACACCAGATTTCAGGAAGGTGGTGAAGGCAGTCACAGTAGCTCCCACGAGGAGGTGATGTGGTAAGAGTCTGGAAGAAAAGAGGGAAGTTTGGAGGAAGGGCTAGCAAAACAGCTATCCGTAAGAGCTTCCAGTAGTTGGTGGCATAAAAAGACAGACTTCGGAGATAGCTCTGTGATGTTGAGCTAATCATTTAAACTCTGATTCTGTTTCCTACTCTGTAAAACCATCCCAACTTCTGGGTCCCCTAACCTGCCTTTCGGCACTTTCATGTCACACTACTGTTGCTGAAGCCCCACCCACAACTTTAAAACTTAACAGATGAGAGACACTTGGAGGTCCAAATGCTGAGGAGCTCAACACCCTACTCCTCCTTCCTCTGTCCTCCCGCTGACCGAAGGGTTTGCGTCTTTCCCCAGATTCTGACATGCGCAGTGGGGTTGGGCGGGGGGAGGGGCCTCCTGGCTCCACCCCCAGCCATGTCACCCTGAGCAAGTCATTCAGCTTCTCTGAACTTCCATCTCTTCTTCTTCTTCTTCTTCTTTTTTAATTTTTTTTCTTCTTCTTTTTTTAAAGATAGAGAGGGGGGAGAGAGTGAGAGAGAATGTGCATGCAAGGGAGCACAAGCAGGGAGAGAGGCAGAGGGGGAAGCAGGCTCCAAGCAGAGCAGGGATGTGGAACTCGATCCCAGGACCCTGGGATCATGACCTGAGCTGAAGGCAGACAAAAGCTTAACCGACTTGCTATGTGATGAGTCTACTTGCCACCTGGACCCAGCCCCACTCTCCAGGCTGGACTGGGTGTCAGATGGGTATAATGAGGAGCAAGAAAACACTGATTAAAAACACAGGCTTCAGGGGTGCCTGGGTGGCTCAGGTCATGATCTCAGGGTCCTAAGATCAAGCCCTGTGTTGGACTCTCTGCTCAGCAGGGGATCTGCTTCTCCCTCTCTCTTGCTCTGGCTCTCACTCTGGTTCAAGTAAATCAATAAAATCTTTAAACACACACACACACACACACACACACACACAGGCTTTGGAGACAGACAGACTTGGTTCAAAACCTAAATATGTCACTTACAAGCTGTAGGATGCAGGGCAATTCCTTAACAAGCCCCCCGACCCCCGCCTACTGCTCCTCATCTCTTGGCCGTGAGATAAGAATGCTTGCTTTAGGATTATTAGATGAAATGTTGCAAAATAAGGACTGGTAACAGAGCTAAATGCTCAGCTGGGCAACTATACTGTTACTACTCCTAATGGTGCCTTTGTAAACAGGGAAGGTACAGAGATGTCAACGCTTATTGGTCTGGATAGCACACCAGATGCAACCACTTCATGGGAAGGCTCAGAGACCAACAGGATCACCCCTCCATCCAGCCCAGGCTGCTTCTACCCAGATCCCAGGACAGCATGGGTTCTGGGTCCCTGCGCCTCTCAGCTGAGATGGGAGCTGGCATGTGATGCTGTGCCCTTCTCTGTCAGCATCTCAGCTCCCAGGGCCCCCACTGGATGCTGGGTCTGGCATTGGAGACCCCTGACTCAACTTGGACCCAGCACCAGGGCTGCCCACTATATCTCCCATCCCAATCTATGCCCATGTCAGAGGCCAGTGTCTGCCTCCACAGAAGGGTGGAGGGGTTCTCTTTTTTCCTAGCCTCTCCTTCCCCACGCTCAGGAAAAGATGGGCAGGTGACAGGGCAGGCACATGATGGGAGAGGTAGATTGGGCTGAGGGAGCACACCCAGCTTGCACGGGGAGCACCATACCAGCTCCCCTCCTGATTATGTGACCTTTGTCTCCCCCCAGCCTGACTCCCATACACAACACTATACACACACACACAGGGAGAGACAGAAGGCACTCGATTTCAAATGTGTAATCACACACCCTACAGACCCAGACAGATGATATACACTTAAAGACATAATCACATGTGTCCACAGAGAAGCACACGCACCCCCGAGACAAAGGCACACAGAAGCCACCACACTGACGCCACAGGCATTTGCGGACTCACATATGTGTAGACACCCATGCACACTCACACACACCGCCCTCCTTGGCCCCCGCCCAGCCCAGAGAGGTGGGAAGAGCCCAACCTTCAGTGGGCAGGGAAGTGGGAAGAGTCTTACCTGGGTCTTGGGTTCCTGTGGCTGAGGCACGCACACCGGCTCTGGGCAGGCGCTTGTGTGAGCTTGAATACACACACACTCATCCCCGCTCCAGCCCCCAGTACCACTCTCCTGGCCCCCATCCCTGCAGGTCGGACAAAAGAGCTCCTCGGTGAGGTTTGTGGTGAGGAGATGAGAAGGCTGGCAGGGAGCAGCTGCTGTCACCATGGCTACGGGGCTGACCCACTTCTCCTCCACCCAGCTTGGCCCACCCAGCCCAGGCAAGGGAGGACAAGCAGCTTTGGACAGGGGGGTCCTCCCCATTACACATGGTAAAGAGGTGGCCCTCCGAGGGTGTGGTAAGGGATGGGGTGAGCACCAGACTAGTTCCTGCATAGAAAGGCAATAGCCAGACATTCTTTGAGGGGAGCAAGGTACTCAGAAGATGACCCCCGCTAAACCTAACACGTGGACTCCCACGGCATCTGCACCTCTGGCCTCAGGGACCCTCCACAGGCCACGTGCTTGCCTTGGACACATTCTCAATCACAGGCCTCATGGCAGGGCAGAGGTGGGGTGGGCAGGCCCAAATCTGTGTCCCCAACTCCAAGGACTCAGGACACTGAAGGGCAAGAGAGACCCAGAGCTGGTTGAACCCTGTGTCCTGCTCAGACCAAGGTTGCAGAGGGCAGGGCTTGTCCTCCCTGCTTGGACTAGGTGCTGCTGGAGGCAGGGCCATGCCTTCGTTCCTCAGCCTGGGCTGCCATGGGTCTTCTCTCAGCCACGGTGCTCCTGAGGACATGGCCATGTGTCTTTCCCTCAGAACTGGAGATAGAGAGGAACCACACAGCCTTTGGACAGCTCAGTTTTGTGAGATCAGTCACAAAACAGAATGAATTGCTCCTGCACGACAGCTTCCTGTAGCTCCCCATTTCCTTCAGGCTAAAGTAAAAACCCCTCACGCCGAGGCCCGTAAGCCCAGTGGCCCAGCTCATCCCCTGCTCTTGCCCCTCATCTGTGTTTCAGCTGCACTTGCCTCGCTCCTGTTCTTCAAAAGTGTTCTGTGTCTCCCGTCTGCCTGGAATGCTCTTCTCTAGCCTTCCTACCCTGCATTTGTCTGCCGTACCCCCTTTGCCTGGCTGATCCCTTCTCTTTGCTCAGTCCCAGATGCAATGTCATTTTCTAGGAATCTTCCCAGCCAAAGTGAGTCCCCCTGTCATGCTCTCCCAAACTCTGCACTGGCCCTGCCTATTATGTGAACTGTGCCCCCCGCCCCCCCCAAAAGATATGTTGAGGTTGAAACTACAGTACCATAGAATATGACCTTGTCTGGAAGAAGGTCATTGCAGATGTGATCAGTGAAGTTGAAGTCATGCTGGCGTAGGTTGGGCCCTAATCCAAGATGACTGGTGTCTTTAAAAGAATACAGCTATGTGAAGACAGAGACACACAGGGAGAATGCCATGGGATGACGGAGGCAGAGTCTGGAGTGAGGAGCAACAGATTAAAGAATGCCGGGGATTAGCAGCTGTCACCAGAAGCGGGGTGAGAGCCATGGAAGAGCATCTCCCTCAGAAGGAACTGATCCTGCCAACACCTTGACCTTGGACCTTTAGCCTCCAGAACTATGAGAGAATTAAGTTTCTGTTGTTTTAGGCAAGCCAGTTTGTGGTACTTTGTTACAGCTGCCCTAGGAAACTCATATGTTGCTATTCCTAATTTGTTCAGTGCCTGTCTCCCACACCCCAGCCCCTGGCTGTGAGCTGCCTAAAAATAGACACCATGTCTTCTTCACCAGGAACCTCTAGGGCCTGGCGTAGGTCTGGCCCACAGTAGGGCTCTGTAAAAATGTGTTGAATGAATGAATCATGATCTCAAACAAATATTAAATTAACAGTATTTGCAGTTGGATAGTAGAATTGTGAGTCATTTTATTTTCTTCATATGACATACTGTGTTTTTCTAAGTTCCCACTTGAGAGACTATATTGATATTATCATAAAGAAGAACTAAAATACTTATTTTTCTTTTCAAAACATACGTTAAAACAACAGTCATTTCCACCAATATGTGTTTTGCGAAGAGGAAGAAGTTCTGCTATCTGCTTGATAACTACTTTCTCATTGACTAATTGATTCCTCCTTGTCTTGCTAGAGCGTTTTCTGGAGTCAGATCCCCAGAGCTTGAGCTCTGGGGGTCTTGGGAGGAATAGATTCCCGGTGGGAGGGGTCCAGGCAAAGTACGCACGTTTCTCAACCCTCCACCCCTTCTCACAGCTCATGGGATCCGGCCAGATGTGGCACCTATCACCTGGTGGGGGCTGCCAGACTTGGCACTTGTGAACACCACCAGCCCTGGCTGAAGGCCATTCCCAAACAGAAGCAAAATCCTACCCTTCATGAATGTACCCTCAAACTTGAATATTCACACAAATCACTTGGGCATCTTGTTGAAATGCAGACCTCAATCCCATACGTCCCAGGGGGAACTTGAAAGTCTGCATTTCTAACAAGGTCTAAGGTGATAACCCACGTTGCTGGTCTATGGGCGACCCAAGGCACTGAAAGTTAAAGATTAGATATTCTGGTTATTCTGCAAGAGTGAAAGCTCTGGGATGGAGAGCACAGAAATGGCACGCTGGGAAGTGCACTGCAGAGCATCTCAAAAGGCAGGTGGGATTTGGAGAGGTAGAGCTGGCAGGAAGGAGGTGGGAACTACCTGGGACGATCCAGAGAGAAAGTGCTATGTTTGGAGGACAGTGAATAGAGAGCAGTGAATAGAGAGTAGTGCAGCTGGAACAGGACATAAATACAATTGTGGGAGGGAGGGCTAGAAAGGTAGGCTGGGAACAGCCAATGAAGGGCTCTGAATGCAGGGCTTCCTAAGAAGCTTGGCTTTAATCCCATAGGGATTGAAATCTGACATGACTTAGATGTCTGTTTTACAGAGATCAATCT